CGCCCATCCTGCAAGCCCTGCAGCACGTCCAGGCCAGCTGTGACGAGGCACATAAGATGAAGTGAGACCCCCCCCCCCCCCCCCCCCCCCCCCCCCCCCCCCCCCCCCCCCCCCCCCCCCCCCCCCCCCCCNNNTCACATCACCCCCCTCCCCCACCCCCCCCAGGTTCAGCGATCTCTTCTCCCTGGCTGAGGAATACGAGGACTCGTCCAGCAAACCCCCCAAGAGCCGCCGTAAGGCCGCCCTCGCCAGCCCCCGCAGCCGCAAGAGCGCCGCGCAGCCCCCCAACAACGAGGAGGAGTCGGCGTCCAGCAGCGCCTCGGTGAGGGGGGGGCTGGGGACCCCCCTATGGGGCTGTGTGACCCTATGGGACTGTGTGCCCCCCTATGGGGCTATGTGCCCCCCTATGGGACTGGGACCCTTTGGTGGGTGTGGGGCTGTGTGCCCCCTATGGGGCTGGGGACCCCCCTATGGGGCTGTGTGACCCTATGGGACTGGGACCCTTTGGTGGGTGGGGGCTGTGTGTCCCTATGGGGCTATGGACCCCTCTATGGGGTGGGACCCCTTGGTGGGTGTGGGGCTGTGTGCCCCCCTATGGGGCTGGGACCCTTTGGTGGGTGTGGGGCTGTGTGCCCCCTATGGGGCTGTGTGCCCCCCTATGGGACTGGGACCCTTTGGTGGGTGTGGGGCTGTAGCCCCCCCCCTGTGGGGCTGGGACCCCTTGGTGGGCATGGGGTTGTGGGCCCCCCTGTGGGACTGGGTGCCCCTCTGTGGGGCTGGGACTCCTTGTTGAGTGCAGGTCTATGGGGCCATGTTTCTCCCTCTGGGGTCATGTGCCCCACTATGGGGCTGTGTCCCCTCTATGGGGCTGGGAGCCCTTGGTGACTGTGGGGCCGTGTGCCCCTTATGGGGCCGGGACTCTTCCGTCAGCGTAAGGCTGTGAGGCGGTGCCCCCCCTCTATGGGGCAGTGCCCCCCCTTATGGGGCTGCATCTCTCCCTATGGGGCCACGTCCCTCTATGGGGCTGTGAGTCCTGGATGAGCGCAGGTCTATGGGACCGTGTCTCTTCCTATGGGGTCGTGTGCCCTCCTATGGGGCCGGGACCCCTGGGTGGATGTATGGGGTCGGGACGCCCCCCATCGCCCCCTGCTGTGCCCATAGGAGGAGGAGGACACCAAACCCAAACCCACCAAGCGGAAGCGGAAGGGCTCCTCGGCCGTGGGCTCAGACAGCGACTGAGATGCGGCGGGGCAGAGCGGCCCCCGCTGCGCTGCGCTGCGCCCCCTCGGAGCGGCGCCCCCTGGTGGCGGGGGGTGGAAGTGCGCGCGTGTGTGTGCGCCCCCCACCCCCCCCCAAAGCACAGGAGCCGCAGTTTGGGGGTCTCCGCAATGAGGGGGGGGGAAATTCGGGTGGGGGGGGGCAGTGGTTCCCCCCCCC